CAAAATACTTTGAATAATAATAGAAAGTTAACACAAAACGAAATATTGTAAAACTGTGTACACAAAAGCCTTGACGCACATAGGCTGAAACCCTGTTACTTAGCATAGTAAATTGCCCTACAGTTGAGTCCATTGAATCAGTGGGAATTTGATGAGTCAGCTCTTCCCATTAATTGAAATGAGCCTATTCTTGTAGCAGCTCACTACTGTAAAGCAAGTTGCAATCAATAGGATTTCAACTTCTGTATGTTAAATGCTTGGGAATTTATTGTGATGCACATACTATTCCTTTTTTATCTTTGGACTGTCTAGACTGTGAACTTGACCGGGCACAAATAAAAGTTCAGCCATCCAAAAATCATTTTAAGTACATTATACTAAGGGCTGTTAGAGAAATAATTTTTCTCTAGTTTTAAGAGTCTTGTCTTTAAGTTGACAAAGTAAGAAAAAGAGACCACGGGATAGGTTTGAAAATCCAAAGACTCTTCATTCGCTCTTTCCACCACCATCAGAAGCGACAATCCTACTTGTTTATGCTGATACAAAAGAAATAGAGTAGATTATAGCAAACTTTAATAGGGAGACAAGACTTCATGTCTGCAAGTCATAGCTATTCAGTAAAAAAAATGAATCCAAAAATCACAGTTCCAGATTGTGCTGTTTTAAATATCTATTTTCCATGAATTAGGTATAATTTTTTTTTGAGCCAGACAGACTGTCAGTGAGCTGCTACACACATAAAGAGTTTTTTCCAACCATAAAATATATTGCATATGTTTTGAAGCCGATATGGCAAGATGCTTAACTTTGGTATATGTTCTGCAGATTATTTCAGTGGTGTGTGTCTGCATGAGTCTGAAGCACTTGGGTGTGCACAGTAATCACAACTGAATACTAGATGGAACCTTGTGTGTGTGTTCACACTTGCAAATGTGTGTATTTTGTAAACAGTTGAGGGTAGGCAGGCAAGTGTAGTGTATTTGTGGCATATCTCTGACAACTAATTGAAATCCTACACCAAATTATGTGCAGTGGCTTTGAGAGTGACTGGCAAATCAAGACATATTTGGTTAAAATCTCACAAGCACAACAAACTCGTTAGATGATTGTAGAAAGGGACTCTCAGATTCAGTTCAGATAGTTAGGGGATGGTTTTGTTGTTGTGGGGTGGTTCAACGAGAGGACGCCTATACACTGCCTCTGTGCAGGCCCTTAGCCTCCTGCTGATCATCCTGAAGGCAGCAACTGGCTTCCAAGAAGGGAAGCCAAGCTGCTTTCTCTGATGATAGTGGCAGCAATGGTAGCTGTGGTGGGGAGGACCAGGTAGAGAGTTAACAGGCAGTAGGAAGGGGGTGGGCGAAAGCAAAATGAAGCACTGAGGGAGGAAAGTTTGGCACATTATTTTGTTTTGGCAAAACAGGACCTGAACCCTGTACCAGCCTGATTTGTCAGTTTTTCTGGGTTGTAGTTCAGTTCGTGCCCATCTTTACTGATTACTATTCAGGGGTTCAGACCAGCTCATTTTCATACATTCCAGAAATGTGTGAGAGATGATATATTGGCTATCCTGGATGTACTATGCTCTTCATGTGCTAAATGCACAGGCAGAGATGTTGAGCACCTCGACATCCAGGAGCACACTGAGGATAGGTATGTGTGAGCAGGGGCTCTAGATGCATAAAAATCTGTTGGTGAGATTTTCACTGGACCAAGATATCATCCCCCATGTGGAGGATCTCTACATGTGTACATCAGCCCCTTTTTAGATACACTCTTAGAAAACTACCTTTTATGCTGGGGTTAAAGCTAGCACTATCCAAAACAGCTCTATGATCCCATCACACTTTGCTTGAATGCAAGAGAGGAGTCATTTGACCTCCCTGAAAGAAATTGTCTTCAGAGGTCTTCTCTTCTCTTTTGTCTTTGATAATAAGCCTGGTAATAAACAAGATGCCTTCTCCAAATCAAACTAGATGGTATGTGTAGCGTGTCTGTAAAAGGTGTGCTCTTTTCTTGAGAAAGACATATTATAAGTGGGAAATGGGTTAATCTCATGGACTGCACATTCCCTAAACCTCTAAGCATGCTACTCTGTGGTGGCATTCTTTTTTTGGAATTATGTTCCCTGGGAAATTTTCCTGGCCCCTGAGTTTGTGGTTCTTTTTTTTCCGACCGAGTTGAAGTCCTTTGGGAAGTGTCCAGGCCACTGAATGTTGGATGACATGTAGTGGTGGCATTCTTTTTTGGAATTATGTTCCCTGAGAAATTTTCCTGGCCCTGAGTTTGTTGTTCTTTTTTTTTCGACTGAGTTGAAGTCCTTTGGAAGTGTTCAGGCCACTGAATGTTGGATGACATGTAGATCTGCCTGCCACTGGCATGTTTTGGAAACCATTGTACCTGTCCTTTTAGCTTATCCTCTTGTTTCCGCTGTATTTTTTAAATCTGTTGATAATCATTCTGAAAGCTTCCAAACTAAACAGCAGGGTAGAAATTTTCAAAATAGAAATAAAATAAACAAAGTGCAATTGTTCTCTTGTAAGATAATAATCTTCCCCATTTTTTTCTTGGAAATGGGAGATGATAAGGAAGAATAAAGATGGCTTGTTTACAGCATTACTTGAGACGCACACGTCTGTTGCTTAAGTAGGTCTGCACATGTGCCTGTTTTCCTGCAAGGACGCACATATGGCAAAACACCACAGCAAATAAAAGTTCTAGTTTTACCATTTAACTTTTAGTTACAACTGCAGACAGACTTAAAGACTGTTAAAAAGACTGTATATTCTTTAAAAGTTATATGGGGAAATACATGACATCAGTTTTCCACTGTGACAGCTTTTTGTAATTATAATAAAATAACTGTGTGCTATCATGTCAACTTATGGCAGTCCTTTCCAGAGTTTCTTTGTGGAGAGTACTCAGAAGCGGTTTATGAATTCCCTGCTTTCTGTTTGGGGACACCCTGGGACTGTGCGGCTTGCCCAAGGCTATGACGACTGGCTGTGTTCCCAGGAGGCACCATGGGGGAATTGAACTCCCAGCCTCTTTAGCTCCACATCCAGATGCCTAACTCTCTGAGCTATCCAGTCAGATTCTTGTTAATGGTATCAGTTGTCATTTACATGCCATCCTTTTTGAAGTATCCAGTTGGCTTCCTGAAATGGTGTGTAGATTAAATAATCACTTTAAAAAAAAAAAAAGCAGGCAAAATTGCCCATCCCTTGTTTCCATGAATATGCACACTTGAATGTTTCGGTGTAGAAAAGACAAGTTAAAATCATTCAGGCAGTGAAAATAGTGAACATATTAGCCTGAATAGTAGTTTAGTTTTAATGCAATATGACATCTCCTGGTGTTACTTTCTTAGGTGATATTTTAATCAGAAGAACAATGCATGTGCAAGTGTGAGCATGCAGTAGTGTGTAAATCTGGCAGGTGCTGGTAAACACGATACCAAGAGCTATATTTTCACAAGACAGGCTTGGCTCAGGCATGCATGGCAGGCAGAGACTTGTCCTTTCTCTTCCACTGGAAAATGTTATTGGCAGAGAGTTGGCTAATGTTACATTCTCATGTTTTATCATTTCATCACCACAGCTGCAGAACTGTTTAGGACTGTTGATTTCATTTTATGGGATGGGACATGTATGATATGTCTGTTCTTCATTGCAAAATCTGCTCCAGCCATTGCTTCATGCTCGTTTTTCAAGTATTTATAGCAAAGATACATTTTACTACAGTATCCCCCTTCATTTATTCATCCCCCCCCATATCTTTTGCATGCAAAGTATTTATTAAACATGTTCTTCTTCTGCACTTACACAGGGATTGGTGTGGCTTACGTCATTTTGAAAAAATAGTAATAACAAACAGCAATTAACCAATCAAGAGAATTGGATTCATATTTCAGCACATGGAATAGGACTGGCGCCAGCAGACTTTCCCAGTTCCTCCACTCAAGGAGAATGTTTCCAGGCCAAGGAAAATGCTAAACATAAGGCTAGAGAACCAGACTGAGTCGGATAGTATGGTGTGTTGTAAGGGAAGATTTTCAAAGATTTTATGGAGGTAACTTCCACGAGCAGTACTCTGCTCATGGAAGATTATTCCACATGTTTGGTGGGAATTCCTCCAGATCTTATTGCCACACTCATCAGTAGTGTCCCCAAAAGTGTTTTCTGCATGACGTGGAAAATCTAGAAGAATTGCTCAGAGGAACAAGAAGTGACGAAGTTGCTTCCACAACCTGGTTGCATGTTCCTCAGTATGGATCCAATCCAGGGACAGGTGGGACAGAAAAAATACTGTCAAAATGAGTGAGGGAGATCCTCCAAATGAGTCTTGGCACAGTCACAGAGAATGCCTTCTGACTTAACCTGCTGTGCCAAAACCAGGACACAAAGGGCATCACCAGCAGATTTTAGGCAGTGGCCTAAATATGGGGAAGGAAGAAGGCTAAGACCTTCTGAGCTCAAGCCAGTCAGGGCAGACAGATGATCATCAACAATTTGCAGTGTCCAGGAAATGGTTGCTGATCAGTGCAGCTGTAATAAATTGAACCAGTCCAATGAACTCAAATATATGATGGTGTGCTCCAAGCATGTTGTAGCAAAGGTAGCAGGACACTGTTAAGATACATGTTGTCTTTTCCAGTGGGTTTTGTTTAGAGGTACAAATATATCTTTAGATCCAAATAGGCAGATGGTGCTGCTTGGTATAGTTATAAACACACCTTGGAAAAATTAGGGGTTTTTTTGAACTGTAAATTCCAAGATTCCCCCCACCCCCGCCAGCATGATTTGCGGTCCAAATAGCTCATTTTTGTCTTACTTTGAACATGGTAGGTATAAATGAAGAGAACAGTTCATATACCTTTTGGCCACTGTTATTCATGGCTCCTGGGAGTGATCCAAACACATTACTTTTCCAGGCATCGACTCTCTGTGTGGCTGGCATACCAGAAGAGAGCAATTCATGATCTAGGCTTGTGTTTTCCCTAGGTAAACAGCAACAACTTGATGCGGAGCACCAAGAAATGTATGTTGAAGCTGACCATGACCTTCACCTGTCAACCAGACGATCAGTACAGCCCCCAGCGGAGAAGCCAGGAGAAAGGAGAATGGCTGAAATGAGAAAGCTTTATGGTGTGGGTGCCAGCAAAATCCAAGCTTTGGAGACCACCATGCAGCTCAGCTTTGATAGGAACTGTGATAAAAAACAGCCCAAGTACTGGCCGATCATTCCTCTGAAACTCTGAACCATGTGTCTTTCTGTTCCTTTTAGAAAACTCAGAGCTGCGTATCTTGATGCTCAACCAAGCAGAAGGATTTAAGTGAATGAATCAAGAGTCAGCAAAAAAAGAGGCTCTTTTTTATTTTCCTTTCCCCTTGCCAACTCTACTATGAATTGATGTGCCAGTTTCCAGAGCCCATTTCAAATCAACAGGAAGAGCTGAATTGGTCATTTGTACTGTATGGGGGCAAGGAAATTTCTCTTTAAAATATATTTTCAACTAATTCAATTTTGGCCTACTTCAGCCTTTCAGGAAATGAAGCAGCATTTGTTTTCACTTAGTTGAGCAAGGAAGTAGGTTAAAGACTATCCAAACTTGTAGGCTGTCTGAATAAAAAATTAAATTTTAGTTTTTGCTGTTACACTGCCTTTGCCATAGATGGTTTTACTACACCTTTTAGCCACTGTTACTTTTATTCTGGACACAGCAGTTGCCCAAAGTACAGTATGTTTAGCTCCCGTAGTATAACTATTTGAATTATTTCTCAAACATTTTAATAGTATAGGAACCCTGTCTTCCAGACCGAAGCCTACTCTGTTGCTTTTCAGCTTAGAAGCAAACACATATCAAGCTTCTTTTCTGTCTTGTATTTTACTTGTCATGTGACCAAGTAATAAACATTTATGAAATCAAAGTGTTTGCTTTGACTTAGTATAAAATTGTATTTACAGTAGCTGGTCAAGAAACAGAATTATCTGAAAGCCAAACTGAAGGCGACACATAGCCCAATTGAGATTTTCAATGAAAGGGTTAGTCTTAACCCTCTGAGTACACTATCTCTTTACCTTTCAGTTGTGGATGATTGAATCTGAGGAGAAATTTCAAGAATGTAGTGATGGAGAAATGGCTGTTCTTTTCAGATTTACCTCTCCATTTGCGAAAGGTAGCACAGAGGGGGTAGGTCTGGTGTGTGCCCTCTCACATTGACCAAGTTTAATTCTTTTATTGAATACTGGAATAAGTCCTTTTGCACAGCATTTGCTATTGTAAATATTCTCATCACAAAGAGCAGGTACTGAAGGGATGCATGATTCAAATCATGACTGCACTGGAGGCACAAGATTGACATCCTTTCCCCATGCTGTGGTCCTGATACCAAGCTTCTTTTCTGTCTTGTATTTTACTTGTCATGTGACCAAGTAATAAACATTTATGAAATTAAAGTGTTTGCTTTGACTGAGTATAAAATTGCATTTAGCTGGTCAAGAAACAGAATTATCTGAAAGCCAAACTGAAGGCAATACATAGCCCAATTGAGATTTTCAATGAAAGGGTTAGTCTTAACCTCTGAGTATCTCTTTACCTTTCATTTGTGGATGATTGAATCTGAGGAGAAAAGTCAAGAATGTAGCGATGGAGAAATGGCTGTTCTTTTCAGATTTACCTCTCCATTTGCGAAAGGTAGCACAGAGGGGGTAGGGCTGGTGTGTGCCCTCTCACATTGACCAAGTTTAATTCTTTTATTGAATACTGGAATAAGTCCTTTTGCACAGCATTTGCTATTGTAAATATTCTCATCACAAAGAGCAGGTACTGAAGGGATGCATGATTCAAATCATGACTGCACTGGAGGCAAAAGATTGACATCCTTTCCCCATGCTGTGGTCCTGATACCTTTATACCCTCTCATACCCAAGCATACATGGAATCTATGTGTGCATATATGGACATGGACATACACATGTGCATGAACACACACACAGACTTAAACCCCAACCATGGTAGCCAAGACTTTACGTCAAGCATCACATACCATGAAGCTATTAAAAGTCTCGAAACACATACTCAAGACTGGTTGGTTTGGTTGATTATCACTGGTCGAGAGTTGAGACAGAACTAACTCGGCGAGCCTGAGAAAGTTCCAGCTGTTCATATGGCTTTCATTTACTTGCTGTCTTTTATAGCTGGCTCATGTGTTCCAAAGTAAGAACAGATGTGCCAAAGTTTACAATCCATAAAACATTCTGTCACCTTGAAACACATACTCAAGACTGGTTGGTTTGGTTGATTATCACTGGTCGAGAGTTGAGACAGAACTAACTCGGCGAGCCTGAGAAAGTTCCAGCTGTTCATATGGCTTGCATGTACTTGCTGTCTTTTATAGCTGGCTCATGTGTTCCAAAGTAAGAACAGATGTGCCAAAGTTTACAATCCATAAAACATTCTGTCACAGATTCTTTCCACAAAATATTATTTTACTTCAGGACCTTTGTGGGCATATCCTCCAAACAAGATTTGCTGGTGTGCAATTAAGTTCAGTGGACATTAGCCTGCCTGCTGTTCCGCTTGCGTCATGCTAACCAACATGCTGGAACACACCTCGAGGTTTTGGAGGTATGCATTCTTGGTGAAGGGATTCCAATAAGGGGCATGCATTTGATGTCTTATGACATGTCAAAAAAAAACTTGTGCATGTTTGCTACAAACAGCTGGCAGGAAGCTCAAGGGAAATAGCTTGTGGAGGGGGGGGAATGTTCTCCACCCTACATCTGCTACTTGAGGCCTTAGGGCAAGGCCTGAGCTTAAAGGTAGGTGAGTTCTTTTAATGTTTTTTTAAAAATTCCCTTTGGCTAATTAAAAACCTCTTTCCAAAATTCATACCATGCTTACTGTCCATAATTTTTATGAGTGAGAAGTTTTGTCTTCTACTTATGCCCGTTGCAAAACTTCTCTGTTAAAATTCCTCCACCAGCCCCACAAAGTTGAAGCTAAAAGTCATTTTCATCATCTCGGAAAAGAATTACAAAAAGAACCTGTTCCATTTGGACTTATAGTCAAAGAACATCTGGCACCCAAAATTTGGAGAGCCACTGCTAATGGCAACATGGAATTAAGTAGAGAGCAAGGAGATAAATTTACACTCCACGAAGTTTGGAGACCCACTGATAATGGCAACATGGAATCAACAGTGACAATTCAAGCAGAGAGCAAGGAGATAAATTTACACTCCACCACCACAAACCTAAAGCAATTTTCCATCTGCTCCCACTCAACTGACACAGGCCACGATAACAAGTGTTTTGTATGAGCCCTACATGGACTATACTGTATCAGCAACTGCAGCATGTTGTTGGTCTAGCTGACACAGGCCACGATAACAAGTGTTTCGTATGAGCCCTACATGGACTATATCAGCAACTGCAGCATGTTGTTGGTCTAGTCACTGTAATAAATGATAAAGGATTATAGGATCAACATATGGAGGCCAAGAGTTGTCCATTTTATGCCACATCAAGTCCCAAGAATCACTGCACTGTTAGCGGAGAGTTGCTGCTGAAGCAGTTGTCTTTGGCCACAGCCAAGAAAATGCTAATAGTTGTGTGTGTGTGTTTTGTTCTGTCAAGTTGGAACCAACTTATAGCAACGTTTTGTTCTGTCAAACTGGAACCAACTTATAGCAACCCTAATAGAGCTTTCAAGGTAAATGAGGTATTTTAAGAAGTGGTTTTTTACCAGTTCCGCTCCCCCAGTGAGTTTCCGTGACCAAGTGCGGATTCAAATCCTGGTCTCCAGAGTCCTAGACCATCACTCTATCCATTACATCAGACCGCTACTCAACAATAGTTAAGAAGAGAAAAATGAAACTGCCGTGAAACTGCAAATACAGTTTCTAAAAGAAACACCATGATTAAATCTTCTTGAATCTAGTACTTCATTAATGCTGCATAGTATTAAGCCAAATGACTCCATGGGCCAAAATGTGCTTTCTTCCCTTGCACAACTGCCCATCTTCTGTTAATGAGAACAATATGCAGGGATACAGAAGGCATGATTTAATCAGAAACCTCATATATGCAATTTCGCAATGATGAAAAACAGCTTTGCTGGCCAATGTGAAATCAGTAATGCAACACAACTTTGACATGTAAAATTAGGCTGACATCACATCTTCCTTTTAAAATCTGACATTACACCAAGTGGGCTTGAAGATGCATTTGCCTGAGAATCAATTAGTGTCAAATAAGGTTGCTTATATAAGTTAAAGAGAGTTATGTACATGTTGAAGAACTGTCAAGCAGCAGAGGAAGATGATGACTTGTTGGGAGAAAAATGCAGATTCTTTTGCAAAAAGAGAAATAAAATGCAAAATATTATTAGTTGACACAATTAGTATTTTGCCTGATGAAAAGGTCTTGGAAAGGTTGAAAGTCTGCTTGTTTTGAATGCCACTAATGTCCGTTAAGCAAAAGGAACTATTTTCTCTGCGTCTATGATAAGCAGTATTTCCTACTTCCACCACGAACAATTCCAGGAGTGGGGGAAAATTCATACAAGGTCTCAGGGTTGCATAGTATGGTTTAATCATAAAGAACTTTAAAGATGCATACTATCCCAGATCTCTACCTAAGCAGACCCCACATGGGAGATTTATAATACATCCATAAAATAAAATAAAATAGAGAGATTTCTCATCTGGAGTGTTAGCACTAACTTGATTTTTACTCTGTTTCTTCAATGCTCACTTTGAGTGACTGTACAACAGCTTCAGGATCCTGCTAGTCCGTGGCTTAGCAAGGTTGACCCTACGAAAATGAATGCAAATATTCAGCCTATTGTTGCTATGGTTTTGAAATCTTAGTTTGAGCAAAGTAATCCCAGTGGGATTTTATGGTAGAATAATAAAGATCAAAGTTATTAATTGTTATTAATTACATCTGCCAATGTAACATAATTGGCATAAATCTCACTGCTAATTTGCCACAAATTAAGAAATCAGCATAGGCATTTGCTGTTGCGTGCCATGATGTTACACCAATTGTGTTGTGCCAGTGTAAAAACTCAGTAGGGTTTTATCTTCTGGATTCTCTTAAAAGTAGGCTATATATGGGCAGTATGCCCCAGAACATGAAATGGCTGAGCTGTCCCTATTTCAAGGTACAAAACCTTAGCCCCGGTCAGATTTCAGTACAGTTAACATAGAAATAAATCTGCAAAAGAAATGTGAGGCAACAGAAGCAGCACAAATATTATGCATTTTAGTGGGAACATTACCCGGTGTCAGCCAAAAAAGGAAGGAAAATCTTTTATTTAGTGGAAGGAATGCTGTCTAGTAAGCAGAAACAGACAAGTAGGTAATTTTCTTTGCCTGTAGAGAAGGAACCAAAATAAACGAGAGTTATACGTAAGAGGGTTTGCAGCTGCCTTTTTGTTTTACGAATCCACTTTGGTCAAGAAACTATTAGCAAACTGCGACTGTACCCAGCTGCAAAGTGCTGTGTCAGCTTTCAGTTCTAACTGTTGATTATATTTTCTGTACACTTCCTGATCCCCATAATCCCTGGCCTATTCTGGTTTCCTGATGATGAGAAGTACAAATTTACTGTTGAAATGTTTACGTCTGACAATTCAAAGAAATAAGGAAAAAGATAGTTGAAATAATGTACTGTACTGAAGAGTTGAGTGGAAAGATGCACATCTTTAAAAAAAGTGGAGAAAAGACTACCCTCACTCGACATTCTCCAAGCTAAATGTTGTTGCTATGTGCCATGAAGTAGTTTCCAACAGATGAAGGGTTAAAGACACATTGGGTTTTCAAGGTACATGAGACATTGAAGGAGTGCTTTACTATTGCAACCCCCAGTGAGTTTCCATGACCAAGCCAAACTGAGATCTCCTGAGTCCTAATTTGA